TAGCATAGGTCCCAGCTAATTTTATATTAAAAACATATTTTCTTCAGTGTAAACTTCGTCAGGGCCATTTGGATATTTTACTCATTATTCAAGTCCTTAAAAAACAAAAAACTCTCTCAATCTTTGAAACTCATTTTCTGTTTACCTGAAGGAGCCCACTCTAGTAGGATCCAGGACTCACTTAGGAGGGTGACTGAAATAACTTTTATTTCGTTTAGCATATTGATAGCTTTAAGAAATACCTCTGAGCACTTTCCAATTGTCTAGAGAGATGGGCTTAGCTGGGGACAGAAAGCAGTCATGGAATTTTCATGAGTTCATAGTAACATTGCTTTGCCTCGTATTTTCTTGGAGGACTATGGGTAGAGGAAGCTGAGGTGGTGGTGCCCAGAAGGCAGAATGGCCAGATGATAATCCACTCAGTAGAGGCTCAACAGTTGGTAGAAGAAATTCTGGGGAATAGCTGAAGTCAACTTCTGACTCAGGGGTACACTAGTGGGATTTCTCAAACTGAACTACAATCCCTGAAACCTCTGGTCTATCGGGAACCAGCAGTTAGTGTAATGGCTATGTCGCTGGACTCCCACCTAGTCAACTGAGGTTCGCGTCCTGGACCCGGTGGTTTAGAACTCACGCAGGGCGCGTGTGCGTGTGCCCAAGATCCTGAGAGGAGAAGGGAAGGGAAGGGATAGCGGCGTGACCATTGCCCCTGGCGGGTGATTTCTCACTTTCTGTCTCTATGTCTCTGTCTGTCTGTCCGGTGAGCGCATGCGCCCTATAGCAAAAACCTCTCCAAAAAAAAAAAAAAAACTCTGGTCTATCCGCAGAAACAAATATTACCTTTTCCAAAACTAGACTTATTCTGAACACAGTTTTTTTTTGTTGTTTTTAATTACTAGATGGAATTCTGTCTTTGTACTTTAAATCCAGAGGCAAGAGATGAACTGTGCATCATTATGGCAAATCAGAAGAGGATTAAAATGATTTAGCATATAAAACATTTCTTTCATAAGATTCTTTAAAAACTGGACTAACATCATTACAATGATGTATGGTACAGGTTGAGACAAGACAAAAACTGGATTTGAAAGTAACTAGTTTATAGTTATAAGTGGAAATTCTTACAGGAGTCTTCTTAGTTACCTTGTCTAGGGAAAAAGTGATGGCTTTTTGTTTACCATTGAGGTTATGTTCAATGAATCTTTAACTTTTCTTCCTTCTGCTCTAGGGTTGGAAGAAAAAAGAGCAGTCTTGACGATTTAAAAAATTCCTTATAGTAAAAAGTCAAGATAGTAACAGTTGACAAATTGCTGATTTCATATCCTAATTTACTAAAAGGTTTTGACACTACATGTCAAATCCAGGAAGGATTTTCTGGATATTTTATAATTCAAAACAATATTAGGTGAAATTGTGAAAGGTTGTTCAGGATTACCAAAAAAATCATTCAATGTATTTGCATAATACTGACTGACAGGTTTTTTTTTTTTAATGGCCTATATTTCACTATATTTTAATAATCCTAGCTTAAGACAGGTTTTTTTTTTTTTTTTTTACAGTTCATACTTGAGAAAACTAAGGTTCAGAAATTACAGGACTTCCCAAAGTCACATAGCCAGTAAGTTATAATCAACACTGTAGACAGGTCTTTAGATTTTATGTCTAGCCATGTTTCCAGAAAAAAGATGCCTCTTGGGACCCGCAGATGGCATAATGGTTATGTTGCTGGACTCCCACATAGCCAACCATGGATTGAGTACCGGACCTAGCAGCTTAAACCTCATGTCAGGAGCATGGGCAGGAGTGCCTGCCCAAATTCCCAAGAGAATGGAGGAGAAGAGACTGCATGTGGCCATCCCCCCTAGGGGGTGATTTCTCATTTTCTGTCTCTCAGTCTCTCTGGTATGCACATGCACCCTGTAGCAAAAAATCTCTCTCTAAAGGAAAAAAAAAAAAAGAGAGAGAGAGAGACATTTTTTGCTCCTTAAAGTCAATTGTTGTATTCCATTTTAAGATTCCCTGGTTTTAAAGCTGGTATAAAAACATTAATATTTCTTTCTTATTCACCCTTTTTAGCTGTTAACCTCTTGTGACAAACATAAGTTTTTACCAGGTTGTAATATACTACAACTACGCATTACTTTTATTTTGAATAATCCTTTGACTAGTGATTCTCATGTAATAGCAGATATGTTACTTTTGGAATTTGGAAAAAAAACTGAATTTTTGGGTTTCACCTCAGAGACCCATTCGGTAATCAGGGAGGGAATGGGGATAGAATTAACATGTTTAACAAGCCTCTCAGCTGGTCATGTTGAAGATGATTTTAAAGAAACCTAAATATGTAAATGATGTTCAGGATTATAACCCTTAATAGTGCTATGCCTTACTTCAGAAGTTTCCATCTAGAAAGTTCAGTATTTTAAAGTAATGCCACACAAATTAATATCCACTTTAGTGATGAGTATCACCTTAATTTCTACTCTTAGTTCCACTTTATTCCCCTAATACCTTCCTACCAGTGCAAACTGCTAGCCTAATAGCACTTTTTCAGCTTAATCTTCCTATATTCTCAATTCACACCTTCCTAGATCAGAATTAAATTTTACATGACTCCTGGTGAGAGACAGATATTAAATAAGCAATCAGTGGGTATGTTTAAATTGTGAAGTATTTTTAAAGTTGTTTTGGAAACAAACCATCATAAACATGTAAGAATATTCTAGAATTGGTATTTTCTCAATTCTGCTCTGTCATAAATTACCTGTTGATTGACTTAGGTCTAGGCTGGGGCCCAGACTTTGCAATTTATGAGTTGTATAAATAAGTAAATTTAAAAACCAGATGGTACTAATATTTTTTCCCTCCAATCCCAAAGTAGCCACTAAGACTGTAACTTATATTATTATATAATCACTGACATATTTTTAACCCAGAATATCACCTTAGAGGCTCTTTTTAAATAAAAGTATGTTTAAAATCAAAATAACTTATGGTCACTGTCACTTAAAGAGGAAGGATTCTAGTATTCAAAGGGAATATGCTTAGACTGGTATACCTATCAGGTACCCTTTATTATGCAGTAAGTTCACCTGTATTTGGTTAACTTTCTCACCCTGAAGCAAAATCATTCCTATTAATTAGTTTCCATGTGATCTGAATAGTTGCTTTTCTGTACACAATCGTCTTTGATTCAATCTTCTAATATTACCTCTTTTGTTTTGGCAAATGGAAGTTTTTAAAAGAAAGGCATGAGTTTGCAATTGTACCTACTAGTCACAAAAGTTAATCTATCAATGTGACATTTGTTTATATAGACTATAGTTGTCAGTGACTAAGGCAAAATGATTTGAAATGTTAATATTGGCACATTCAATGGCTTTAGATGTAAATCGGGTAGTTAGCTAGGTTAGAAAGTCACTTATCACTGTCAAGTGAAGAAAGTTACAGCCAAAGTTATGAAGTGTAGGTTCAGAGATAAAAAATTAAGATGATCACTAGACAGCATCAGTGGAAAATAAGTAGCAGCACTGAACCAATGCAAGATAAAATATACTTTATTGTGACAGCGAATGCACATAGTGCTATAGGTAAGGCATGCTACTGCATATAATCAAATGCCAATATGGAAATGAATGGGAATGAACCCTGTTTCTTAATGCTTGAAGATTGAAGACCATGGTGAAGGGAAGATAGAGACGAATTTGTGTCCACTTGTTTCAAATGCAATACCTATTTAATCAGATACTTATGCCTCTAACCCAGAGCCCAAAGGCAAATAACAGGAACTTAACTATACTCAGAAGTCACCTTTAGTATCAATGATAAAGTTTTCACTAATCCAACTGAGGCAAACTTCCTTTCTAGACAAAGACCTAAAAATTGAGCATGCAACATCCACTCATTCTTTAAAAGTAGCCAATTTTACTGTATTTATTCCACCAGAAACAAATACTACAATATCTAATAGTTTGGAAAAAAGAGACATTTATATTTTAATACTTCATAATGTTGTAAATTGGGGGCTAAAACAATATCCTGAGTCAAATTTGATCCCTTTCCACTTAGAATACCAAATAGTTTTGACTTCAATAACTGAACTTCTGAGGAAAGATCTGAAAAAGCAATAGTAAGAGATTTAGTTCTTTCATGAAAACTATTAGGTTCTACAGAAGTGTCAAGATCAATGAAAAACAAGGAGGAAAAGCTTTGTAAAACCTAATTTTAGATAAGCCGCTTCATTTCCCCCTTTTCAAAAAACAGATGCAGATTAAAAGCTTTCTGCACAGATCCACATTGACATTCTGTTCAACTGTTTTCTAAATGCAATACTGTGAGTTTAAACAGTACGCTTTCAGTTAAACAAAGAATAAACTCTTCTACATGGTTGACAGCTTAAAAGACAAAAAGAAACACTTAACTACTAAATGAAAATTATTTATCAAGTACTTTGTTCTTTTATAAGGTGTTTTAAAAGCAACACAGGACCAAAAACATCCAACTATTACTTTATTTATATTACTATGCTTAAGTTACATGGAAAAAGACAACCCAGCAATTCTGCCCCATTTCAGAAAAAGTTTCCAATGAACACCAATTATGTGGTGACAAATAACTAGGAATGGTGACATCTTTGGGTCAAGACTGACAAGGAAGAATGGGCTCTGGTGCTACGGTTCATCTCCAACAAGAATATTTCCACCCCAAACAAAAATATGCCACGCGGCCCAGCACAAGCCATGCTAACACTGAGCCTTTAGCGCTGGACACAGATTCGGATCTCTTCTCGGAAGCTAGCAAATCAAATTAAATAATTCGGATTTTAAAAAAAAAGTTTTAAAATTAAGCTCAAATAAGTTTAAAAACCATGCTCTTGACATATTTCCTTTCAAAAATTTACATAAAACACACTTCCCACTCTAATAGCCCAGATTTTTTTCCTTACATAGCCCACCATATAGCTGCAGATAGACTTTCTGCCTTAAGATGTAAACATAGGGGAAAAAAATTAACGGCATCTGAATACTCTCTCTACACACTGCTGTTGGATGGAAAATACAAAATTAAAAAAAGAAAGAAAGAAAGGTTCCGTCTTAGATTCTCACAACCTCTTGTTCCGCAGTTCATGAATCCGACTCTGATGCTAAGGTGACAGTGTATGTAAGTAGATTTTTTTCAGTGAAGGAGACCTGGGAAAAGATGGATTTATCTCTCTTTCTTCAAGAGTTATCAGATGGTACATGCTCCTCAAAGCCCTCACTCTCTCGAACTAGAGCACGTTCCAGGATCACACGGCCTTCCTTATAACGCTGGCTGTCTTCAGTGGCAAACTCATAGATCCACCCCAGTTTGCTATTGCAGTTTTTGCAGCTCACATCTCGAACCATGTGACGGCCAGTGAGCATGACTCGATCTTGAACTTCACTGTACTGCAGGTTAACTACCTAAGAAACATGTAAAAACAAACTTGTAAATGCATGTAAGTTATCTGCAAAATAAATACACAATACTATGGTTGGTGTAATAATTGCAACTTCAGGGACCAGCAGTTAGCGTAATGGCTATGTCGCTGTACTCCCACGTAGTCGACAGCGGTTTGCGTCCCGGACCCGGTGGCTTAAACTCACGCCGGGCGCGTGTGCGTGCGTGCCCAAGATCCCAAGAGGAGAATGGAGGAGAAGGGATTGCAGCATGGCCAACCCCTCTGGGGGGTGATTTCTCGCTTTCTGTCTCTGTCTGTCTGGCGAGCGCGCGTGCCCTATAGCAAAAACCTCTCCAAAAATAAAAAAAAAATTGCAACTTCAGAAAAGGAAATCAAAGTTGTTACGTAAATCAAACCCACAATACCCTCCCTAAGAACTATTTTTCTAGAGAATTATTTTATTATAAATATTTTAACTTTATTTTTTTATTTATTGAAATTTGATCAGAAAAGGGAGGTGGAGGGGAGAGTGAAAAATCAAGCTGTCAGGTCCAGGATTTGAACCACAGTAAGCCATGTGGGAGTCTAGTGCCCTCAACCACCATGCCACCTGCTGGCCCCAGCCAAGAACTATTTTTTAAAGGTTTAATTATTCATTCTTGCATGTGTATACGTGCGTGTGTGTGCCTGTGTGTGTATGAGAGAAAGAGAAAAAGTGAGGAAACCCCCAGCAAGGTTTTCATGCTGCAATGCATCCCCAGTCTCAGTCAGCCTGGATCATGGGCTTCTTGTGTGTCTCCAGGGAGGTTTTGGTATATGAACCCAGGATTTTCCCATGTGAGTCCAGTTCTGTTATGACTGAGTCACCATCTAGTCCCCTAAGAGTTATATTTAAAAGCTGCTGTGATAGGTAAACATCTAGAAATTGCACTGTACAGGACATTCCACATTAATGGTACATACTAGTTACGTCTGTGTATTGTAGTGACTATTGAAATGGTATCATAAACTGTACACACAGGGGACTAAGAAATGGAGCTTGGTAATGCAACTTGACCCACATCAAAAAGGCCCTCAGTTCACATTCCTGGACCTCGACCTCTCTGAGCATGGTGGCTGCACGTGCTTGCTATGATCTGTGCCAGCTGAGGTTAAGGATAGCTTGCAGTGTAAAATTTGAGGCTTCTCCCCATCATAGAAGAAATAAATGAATAAAAAATAATGTAAGTTTGAGTTCAGCTGTTATCTTTCACTCTTCAATGGTGAGTGCAAATAAAGCAATCAATGTAAAAGAGCCTAATATGCCAGTCTACAAAAAAGCTTATCAAAATTGTTTCTAAGAATTTATTTTATGTACAAACAGAATGGGTTAGACGGAGCCTACAAGACCATATAACACGATACATGGTTTTGAAGTGAGGACAAAGAAAATGAACACAATGAAGTGGGTTCTAAGACAATTTTTGAAGAATTCCCAATGACTCTGAAAACCCAATTTTCACATTTTACTGTTCTGTAAAGGATCAGATAGTATTTTTGACTTTGGAGGCTATATGGTCTTTGTTGTAACTATTTCACCCTGGTGTTGTCCCATGAAAGCAGCTATAGACAATACAAAAATGAGTGAGCATGGCTGTGTTACATTAAATTTTATTTACAAAAACAAGCAGCTGGCTTCTTACAGTGTGCCAACCTCTACTCTGTACCTAAATAAAGGTCAAGGGGTACACATTAAAATCTCTGAGAGAAAAACTCGTTTCTACATACAACAGAGGAGTACTCACTGGGAAAGTTTATCTGACTTTCTAAGAATAGTATCTTAGGAGAGTTCTATTTCTTAGTCTAAAAGATTTAGAAGTTAAACTTTGTTAACATATACTAGATTCCAAGAGACAGAATCACATCAACTAATTTAAAGGAAGCCAGAATTAGAAGCAGGTAGAATGGACACACATTTCCACATCAGGAAACACTCTGCCTATTGGCAAATGCATATCATAACCAAATCAAAATTCAGGTGAATGGTGAGCATGAATTAGAGCAAGAGAAGTTGGTTAAGAGACTCTTTATTCACGTTCACTGCAAAGATATAAAAGCTTAATGCAGCTATCTCCCTAAAAGGATAGATCAGTAACTGCAAGGCAAGAGAGGGGAGTATCTTTGTCCCTTCTTTCATAGTCTGTGCTAAAGTCACTATCAAGTTCTTATGCTGAGTGTTTCCTGAGGCAAGGGGGACTACTCTAATTTTTGTAACACATCCTTAAACTTTCATGGTTTAATATCACATTCTAGTAATGCTTTCCTAAAGTTCTATCAAAGACATTTAGAGGGCAATCATTTTTACAGATTTCAGCTCTTTCTGACTTCTGCTGGTATTTCTAAGCTTTGGCAAAGTATTCTCGTGTACTAACCCATTTAACCCTCCAAACCATTTTTTCTCACCAACCTTGTTAAAGAGAAATGCTCTGCCAGTGGCGCCTGTGAACCGAGTAGAGATGAGTTCTGAGCGGTTGGTCAGGATTGTATCACAGTTTGCACAAGAAAACAGACGGGTACCACCAATGTGATCAAGGAAAATTCTGCCCATTTTTATAGCTGAAGTTTTAGAAACCTAGAAGCAAAAAGAGAAGTATAATAATAATAATAAAACTGTTAGTACCTACTTAGGGGGTGTCATAAAGAACCACTTACATATATTTAATCTCTATAGTACTGAGTTTGCTATAATTAATTACTGTAAAAAAAATAGCTGATTCTAAATAAAAAGATCCAAAGTTCACACACTGCACATATAAATAAGCATACCAAAGCCAAGAACATTTTAGAAATAGCAAGCCAAGGAAGTAAACATGCTTAGGCAAGGCCAAGGAATGGTATCAGTTCTCTTTTGGTTGGTAATAGGAAAAGCTAGAAAGTGGAATTTCAGAAAATGAATGATTTAAAGGACTTACAGAGGGAAGAAAAAAGGCTTGGCATAAATGTTTGGAATACATGCTGAGCATGTGTAATTTGAGAAAAACATTGTTAGGTATGAATGAGGTGATCCATAAGAGTAGAAAAATGAGTAATTAGAAAGCAAGAAGAGGATATTCTGGTTTGAGACCAAGAGGTGAGTGGGTCTGTGGTCACCAGGTTCACATTTCAACTGTATAGGGGTGATGGCTCTGACTTCAGTAAGTTGGGGGTCTAATGTCTAGTGAGTACTGTAGTAGGTACTTATCAATATTTTGAAACTGCCACAACTCTGTGAGGTTCCCACCTCCACTTCAAAGATTATCCAAAGCAAGTCTAAGAAGGTTATAACTTAGCTGTTTAAGTATAGAAAATCAGTTGGAATGCAGGTTACTCAACTCTAAGACAAAGTTCTCCCATTACTCTATCCTGCTTCCCCTATGAAGAAGGCACATGATGGTTTAGGTCTAACATAAGAATAAAGCAACAAGAACACAGAGGGAAAGACAGGCTTTCCTATTATTGCATAACTTATTTATCTTTAAATCACAGAAGTGATGAAACATTGAGAAAATTAAGCTTTAAAAGAAATTTCTAAAACTATTATAGGGCAATCACAATTCAATATTTCAAAATTAGGAGAGTTCATACAGTTTTTGCAAATCCTTAAATTCACTGCAATTAATTCTCCTATAAAGCATTTTTAAACATCTAGGTATAGGGACCAGCAGTTAGCGTAATGGCTATGTTGCTGGACTCCCACGTAGTCGACCGTGGTTCGAGTCCCGGACCTGGTGGCTTAAACTCACGCCGGGCGCGGGTGCGTGCGTGCCCTGCGTAACTTTAAGCCACTGGGTCCGGGACATGAACCGTGGTCGACTACATGGGAGTCCAGCGACACAGCCATTACACTAACTGCTGATCTCTGAGTCATGTTTCTTAATACTGATCGTTAACACCAAGGAATCAACAGCAAGGTTTTAGAGTCTCAGCTGTTCGTTAATACTCAAGTTTTCAGATTTTGTATTTCTTTGAAGGCAAGTATATGTGCAGTCATTTAGCCTCTAGCTAGAGCTTCTGGGACTCATTCTTTTAAAGACAACTTACCTAACTTTTAAATGAAACATTCATATTATAATTATTTCAACCACAGTGCAGGAACAACTAGAAGTTTTTGAACCATAGCAGATACAACGCTTTTGTAGAAAATGTACTTGACTTCAAGATGAACTCTACCTATACCTTCTGCCTACATCTTTCTATCTTTGGTTTGAAATTATGATACAGTTACTAGGGATAAACAGATTTAACATTTGAATTCAGTCTATTTTTGACTCTTTAAACAAGTACATTTTACTGGATTCAATTATATGATTCATTACCAAGACCAAAAATATCTGGGCAGAACCCTTATGTTACACTATTCCTAGTTGTGGTTATTTATAGAATATTATTTATGTATATTAAACCATAAAATATAGTTTTTGTTTGCCAAAAAGATAAGCTAGAATCCCATGGAATCGAGCAGAAGAAAGAAAAACATTACTTGCTGTCAAAGGTTTTTAGAAAATAGTAAAACCTCACCTCGCTCATTAGGTTCCAAGAGATAAACCTTACACTTGCAGAGTTAGAAACTCAACCTAGGACTGACTTAAGCTATTTGAACTCTCAAAAGGCTGATGTCAATTAGAATGCTACTACTATGGTCTGAGTGTCTGTTCATCTCACCTCAAATGCATCACCTGAAACCTAATCACCAATGTGCCTGATGGCAATAGGGGGTGATTAGGATTCCCACCCTTGTAAAAGAGGCCCCAGAGAGCTATCTTGCTCCTTGTCACTATGGGAAGATACCTATAAGGCTCCACTGATGAATCAGTAAACAGACCATTATCAGACACCAAATCTGCAAGTCTTGGACTTCCCAGCTTCCATAACTTGGGAAAATGACTTTTTGTGGTTTATAAGCCACTCAGTCTATGCTATTGTTACAGCTGCCTGAAGGGGCTAAAGACAGCCACTTGAGCTGGGCTCTGAATGAAATCTTGCTCCAATTCTTTTCTACTTACTCTCTGATGATCAGAGAGACCAGATTGAGTCTTTTTCCCTCAGGCTTATTGTGAGCTCCAAGGTGCCTCTCCAGTATTCCCTATCTTGGGTGGTTGCAATTCTAATTATATACTCTCTTAAACTAGAAACTCAGGCAATTCTGTTACAAAATCACCAAGTCAACAAATATCTTAAAAAAAAAAAAATCACTTTTGCAAGTCTTTCCTCCCTCTTCCTCATCACTGTATTAATTTAAATGCTCATCATATCCATTTAAACTTTTGTGGGTTTTTAAAAAATTTTATTTATTATAGCATGCATGTGCTTGCCAGAGATAGAGAAATGAGAGAAGAAAAGTGAGAAAACACCCCCCGGGGGATGTCCATACGGAAATCTCTTCTCCTATAATCTATTTGGGATTTGAGGTGGACAAACATGCACGTGTACCCAGCATGATTTCCAAGCTACCAGGCCTAGCACTAGAACCACACAGTCAGCTACATGGGATCCAGCACCTTAATCACCATGCTACCTCCTGGCTCCAGCGTATTTTATTAAAAACAACATTTGTGCTAAATTAGTGCTACAAAAATAAGATCAAAGGCTTGTGTTTTAGCCACCATTTCTAAAAGCTCACAAGGAATGCTCCTCTATGAGCTTTGTAAACTTTTTGGACAGGACAGAAAATAGCTGATTCTTTTTTTTTTTTTTTTTTTAGAAAACTTTATTAAGGAATACCTTACATATGATAAAATCTACCCCCTGTAAATACATGTCCAATTCAATGAGGTTCTAGGAGCACCTTACTGTTTCCCTTACTAATAAAAGGCATGCTTTGGTTGGTATCTGTCAGTGTTGAAGTTTGAGTTCATAGCTAAAATTTGGGCCAGGTCAAATTCCTCATAAAAAGCTTAAGTTTTATTTAACATGCTTCTTTCTTTTTCAATGTGAAGCAAAACAAAACCACCAATTTTCTTGATTTTGTATAAGTAACATTTCCCTGATACTCATAAAAAGTAAGCTTCTTTGGTACTAGATTTTGTAGTTTCAGGTTATAAAATCATAAAAAGATTGAAGAAAAGTACCAAACTTGATAGTTTAACTTGGGACCTATTCTCAGTTTATCTGAACTCTCCTGAAACAGTGAGGGGCTGGGATGAAAATAAATGTAAAATTCATAAATTCATAAATTTCATCTCCATCTAGCAAATAGCTACCTAGAACTTCCAGTTTCTGATTTTAACAGGAGACTGATGAAGGAATCATACTTTAGGACCTCCACTTTTTACAGGGTTTGTTTTTTTTTAATTTAAAGAATTTGCAGAATCTATTAAAAGAAAAATCTTTTCTATTTAGAAGTCTATGAAAGACAAAGTTTCTAGGAATGCATTATTTTAAAAATCATACAGGATGGACTATAAGTTTTTAGTTTGTTTCCAGACCAATAAAATAATTTTCTAAAAAAGCTGCTGGTTTTATGTATACACTAACAAATGACTATGGTATCTTGTTCATTAGTATGACTCATTGCTAAATACAGCAGTCTCCTTTTATCCATGAGAGATACATTCCAAGACCTCCATGAAACTGAAGGTACAAAAGTACTGAATCCTATATAAACTATGCTTTTTCATATACATATATACCTACGATAAAGTTTAATGTGTAAATTGAGCACAGTGTGATTAATAATAACTGTAATAAAAGTTATATGATCAAGATATTAATCAAAATCTTATTTACGTTCGGGAACCAGCAGTTAGCGTAAAGGCTATGTCGCTGGACTCCCGCTTAGTCGACCGTGGTTCGCGTCCTGGACCCGGTGGCTTAAAACTCACGCTGGGCGCGTGTGCGTGCGTGCCCAAGATCCCGAGAGGAGAATGGAGAAGGGTGTGTGACCATCCCCCCTGGGGGGTGATTTCTCGCTTTCTGTCTCTATGTCTCTCTCTGTCTGTCTGGCGAGCGCACGAGCCCTATAGCAAAAACCCCCCCAAAAAAAAAAAAAAAGAAAAAAAAATCTTATTTACTTGCAAGTAACTGAAACCACAGATCCAGGGGGGGACTACTGTATTTTCCTTAAAAGCAGAGGTTAGTATCTGAAGGCCAGTGGGCTATATCCAGCTGTGCTCTGCCCAGAAGCTAAAAATGGTTTTATATTTTTAAATGGCTAAAAAAAAGTAAGACTATTTTGTGAGACATGATATGAAATTCACATTTCAGTGTCCTCAAATCAAGTTTACATGGAGCACAGCCACACCCATTTGTTTTCTTTCAGCAGCTTTCTCACTACAATGGCAGTAAAGTATTTGCTACAGGAATCTAGTGGTTTGCAAAGTTCAAAATATTTACTACCTGGCTATTCACAGAAAAAGTTTGCTTTGTTTGAAAACACGTTCTGGTAAGAGAAAAACTTTTCATTTAGAAAGCAGTCTTTCTCAGGAAAATTAAAAAAAAAAAAAAAAAAGGAAATTGGTTGGCCTTCCACCAATAGGTGTATTTGATAGGATCAGCTTAATACCACTCTTTTCTTCAGATTTTCTAGAGTCCTTAATTCTCTGTAACTAGTTCAGCATGTTGGAAAGCAACTACAAAGAGATGATAAAACAGTGGCAGAGCAGTAATGCAATGCTCTTAAGATGCTGAAGCCTCATGGAAAGGTCCTGGTTTGCATTCTGGGGTCCCGTGTACATGCTGGATTTGTTTGCCTGCCTGTGATCCTGGCTGGCTGAGGTTGGGGGTGTATCAGGGAGTGAAGATGCTGTAGGAGGTGTGTCTGTTGGCCTCTCTCTCATGGAAGTAGATAAACACGCTTTAAATAAAAAAAGGTTATAAAAATAGACAATATACACCCACCAGCTGCCTCCTTTCTCAACACCCAGGACTTACACAGTACAGCTAAGGCACTTTAGAGGCAAACTCAGCTATTCTCCTTAACAGCTTCGTAATCTTTGAGCAAGTTATCACCCCCTGTTCCTTCATCTGTATAATGGTAGCAGCAATATCTATTTCTGAGTTACAAAAATAAATGCGGATAATATATCCTGAGAACAGTGCGTAGCACAAAGTGAATAATAAATAAGGGTCAGTAAAACTAGATAGTCTTCAGCATTCTCCATCCCAGCTTCTCCCATCACAGAAGAGAAAAGCAAGACTCAGAAGGGATATGAAATAGTAACAATTAACCAGCTTCATCACCCTTAAAAGGTCGGTGACCAGGTGACAGAAATCACAAGTACAAGGAAAGCTAGAAACTCTCTAAAGTAGTCTTACTGTCATAATTCTAGGTTTTAAAAACAGGTAATTGCCTTCCTTTTAAGTAATGAATCAAGTTTGCTTTTAACTCTGGCAAATGGAATTAGCCAAAAGACGTACTACTTTTTCAGCCCTAAAAATGCCAGAGAAAATAGGTATCTATTATCTATTTACATCTCATAGGGCCTTCTGATGAAAAAATACCCAGTTCACAGATCGATTTCCCTCAGTAATGGAATTGTCTCCTCAGGGCATTTCTACTGAAACTCCAGAGTGGTAGGCAAAAACAGGTACAAAGATTCTGCCTACAAGGAAAGTCAGTATGCAAGATCCTGCTGCAGAAATGGTTAAAGAAATCTGCCCTTTCCCCTCCAGAGGAGCTTTGGTTTTGCAATGATTCTGCTAAGATAGAATCATTCAGAAGCATGCTTGTGCATCTGGTTCTCAAGTCTCTTCCCTCTTCAAAACAAAGGAAAGAATAAAAGTCAAACTGTTGACAGTGCTGGGTTAATTACAATAATAATTAACATTTAATGCTACTGTAATTTCATCAACTATTTCCATACTGATTTGTGAGTAAATTCTACTAGAAACCTATAAGGGAAGAGTTTGATCCATATAGCCAATGTTACAATTTCTATACAAACTATTTATCAAGTTAAAGTTTCAATGACACAAAAAAGTCATGTTATCCCCCTGCAATACCTGTTTAGTTTACTTTGTTGTGTCCAATGAGGCACTGATTGTAGAATTAGGTCTTCATTTGACAATAATTTTTTTATATTTTTGTCTCCCCCAATAATGCCTTATTTTTCCGTTTTGCTAAACAATGTCCAAGTTTGCTGTATTTCTATAATGCTGTTTAATCATTAGAAAATAAGGCTAGTCCTATTACTCAGCAAGTCATGAATCAGTGAACAATCTGAGTTGGTAATCTCCCCAAAAACCTCTTGGCAAGACAAATTAATGATCTTCTGTTCGTTGTGATGCAATAACAAAAGCCTTTAATGAAACAGAACAGAGTATAACTTAACTGCCTGGTTTTCTGATTCAAGTGTCAAGCAAGTTCATGTCTAGCTAAGATTCAGCTCCTACATTATACAGATGTTACCACATAGAATTACCAGGGAAATTGTTAATTTACATACCCATTTAGGCACTACAAAACCTAAAATGGTATTGTAACAATGAATATACATACATAGGACTGTTTTCATAGCTCATGAATGTTTCTAGGACTAGCTTCACGTTTTGTAGACTGTTGGAGGGAAGTACCTAATTTAATGATTTCTTTCTACATCTAATTTTTGGCCTTATTTCCTTTTATTTTTTGTTTCTAAATGCTTTTCCTACTAAGAGAAAAGGCAAGTAACAAGAATACAGGAAAGTCCTCAACAATACAGGTAACATTATCTTAGACTAAGCTACATATATTATCCTAACTTTATTGATAAGTTACTGTTAAAACCTGGTACAACATTAAATAATTTACCTAAGCACATTTCATCATGTCCCTTTTCCTAGAGATAAGATGGTTGTTAGAGGTAAACTTTAAAAAAGTCTACTTAAGAGACTGGGCTGGGTGAAGGTGTAGTAAACTAAGACAGTTTCCTCCAAAGAGCTTACATTCTACTTGGTGTTCCAGGACACACTCAGAAAGGTAACAGGGATACGTGGAAAGGATTTTGTATGCCAAATTGCACAAGCTCCACACTTCTTACAGATTTTACTACTTTGTAAATGTTCCAGGCCTCTGTGTTTCCTCCTAAGCCTTACTGCCCATTAGTAACCCAAACCCACTTCATTTTCTAGGTCTAATCAATATCAATCCACTACAGAGTGCATCTTCCTCCAGTCCTAGTTACTTCTCGGTGCTCCGATTTTTATCATAATTTTTGATTTACAATAATCGTTATACATATTTGTGAACTCTTATAACACTCATTTAACTTTGTACTGTTACTCAATATCATTTGTCTGTGTGGCTTTTAACTAAACTGAAAATTCTTCATAATTTCCTTCTTACCAGTACAAGTATGCAATACACTGTTGGGAAAATAATCCACCACGGCACTTCACATCTGGCAAAAATATGTACCCTGGTAACACTGCATGCTTTTCAGTTCCTCTTCTTGGAATGCAGCTGCAACACTGTATAAGTGGCTAGGCAAATTTAACTAATATCCTATACCCAACCCCCCCCCACAAGCCGCCCCCCCCCCTACTTCACCAGCAAGTCTACTAATTTTCCAAAAACACAAGGTTAGTCTGAGGTTACTTCAGGTTTTCCATTTGTCAGAGAACTGGAATAAAAATCCTCAGATTACCAACAGGGTTTTGTAAACAGAAAAAGTTTAAAAATAAATGAGCTGTACACTTCCTCAGACTTTCCCCTGAAAGGGAGACTAGCTGGTGTCAATACTAAGCAGATCTTTGTAGTATTTCAATTTCCCACTCTCGCTGATCATAATGCTCATTTGTTCCACCTACCTGCAGAGCACAGTAAAGGGGCTTGAAATATGCGCCCACTCTCCCACCAAGGGGTGGACCGCAGAAACCGGCCAGAACAGGGTGGTCGGAGTGCGGGTGGGCTCCACAGGCCGCGGGGCGGGGCCCCGCCAGCACCCCAATCACACCGCCCCAGCTGATTGCTGTCACGTGAGGCCCGCGGGCCAATCGGAAGGGGCCGGGCTGCGAAGCGCGGCGGCAGTAGCAGGGCCTCCTTGGGCACAACAAACACAGGCAGGAAACAGCTGAGCGGGCGGCAGGCGCGGGGTCCCACGGGCCGCAGCACCCTGCAGGCTGCCTGATCGTCACCCCCGCGCACTCTGCATTCAGTCCAGGTGCCCGCTGGCAGGCG